TAAAACTAATGTTCTCCCATGTAAACTATCACATAATTCACAATAAAACATTAAAAAAAAAATAAATAGAAACATGATAAAGAGCACTAGAATGTTGTAGATATAGTGCCCAAAGATGAGGCCCTTGGGTTGCAAGGAACTCAGACTATGACTGGGGAAGAGCTGCCTTCTCAAAGTAGAGTTGACAGCGATGACGAGAATCGAGTAAAGTCTTCAGGACCTTCATTTGTTGATAGGGCATCACGCAAAAGGAGGAGAAACAACTGTAAACACCCATTAATATTTGGAACATAGAATGTATAAAGTATGAATCTAGGAATATTGGAAGTTATAAAAAAATGACATGGAAAACACAGATATTCTAGGTAATGTTGTTATTGTTGTTAAGTGTCGTTTAGTTGATTACAACTCATAGCGACCCTGTATAGGGTTTCCAAGGAGTAACTGGTGAGATTGAACCTCCGACCTTGCATTAGTGAGCTGAAAAGAACTAGTATTGGTCATTTTGAAGCTGAGGACTGCATGGTTTACTATGCCAAGAAAGACAAATTGAAGAGGAATGGAGTCACACTCATCATCGAAAACAACATTTTAATCTGTCTTAAAGTATAATGTTATCTGTGAAAGGATAATACTGATACCCCTACAAGGAAGACCAGTTAATACCACTATTATTCAAATTTGCACACCAATCACTAAAGTGATTGTGAAATCGAAGAATCTCAGCCTGAAATTGACGAAAACATGCGATCAAGACATGGTGATAATTACTGGTGACTGGAATGCAAAGATTGGAAACAAAGATGAAGGATCAGTAGCTGGAAAATATGGCCTCGGTGACAGAAATGATGTTGAGATTACATGACAGAATTTTGCAAGACAAATGACTTCTTCATTACATATACTTTATCTAAACAAGAAAGATGATTATACACATAAGGAATTCACCAGACGGAATACACAGAAATAAAAATGACTACATCTGTGGAAAGAGAAAGTGCAAAAGTTCAATATCACTAGTCAAAACCAGGCCAAGGGCAGACTGTGGAACTGTTCGACAATCAATTTCTCATATGCAAGTTCAGGCTAAAACTGAAGGAAATTCAAACAACTCCACAAAAGCCAAATTATGACCTTGAACATTATCCACCAGAATTTAGAGATCATCTCAAACACAGATCTGAAGGATCAGACACTAATGATAGAAAACCAAAAGTCGTGGGATGGCATCAACAACATCATGCAGGAATAAAGCAAAAAGTCATTAAGAAGACAAGGAAGAAAGAAAAGCCAAAATGGCTGTCAGAAGAGACTTAAAATCTTACCTTCTAAGGGAGAGATACTAACGCAAATAGAAGAAATGAGGAGGTAAGAGCTGAACAGAAATTTTCAAATGGCAGCTCAAGAAAAGAACGTCAAACATTATAATGAATGGTGCAAAGTCCTGGAGTTAGAAAACCAAATGGGAAGAACATGATCTGCAGTTCTCAAACTGAAAGAACTGAGGAAAAAATTCAAGATCTGACTTTCAATACTGAAGGATTCTTTGGGCAAAATACTGAATGATGCAGAAAGCATCAAAAGAAGATGGAAGGAATATACATAGTCACTCTAGCATAAAGAAACAGTCTAGGTTCAAACATTTCAAGAGGCAGCATATGATCAAAAGCCAATGATACTGAAGGAAGAAATCCAAGTTGCACTGAAGGCACTGGCAAAGAGCAAGGCCCTGGGAATTGATGGAACACAAATTGAAACCTTTCAACAAACTGATATAGCACTGAAGACCCTCATCTATGCTAAGAAATTTAGAAGACAGCTACCTAAGTGAACTGATTGGATGAGATCCATTATTGTGCCCATTCCAAAGAAACATGAATCAAGGGAATGATAAAATCACCAGAAAAATATTGTTAACATTACATACAACTAGAATTTTACTAAAGATAATTCAAAAATGGCTATAACAGTATATTGACAGGTAAATGCCAGAAGGACAAGCTGGATTCAGACAAGGATATGAAACAAGGATATCACTACTGACATCAAATGGCTCTTGGCTAAAAGCAGAGAATATAAGATGTTTACCTGCACTTTATTGGCTACGCAAAAGCTTTTGACTGTGTGGATCATGACAAGCTATGACACTGCAGAGAATGAGTATTCCAGAACACATAATTGGTTCATGAGGAAACTGTACACAGACCAAGAGGTAGTTGTTTAAACAGAACAGGAGGACACTGAATGGTTTAATATTAGGAAACATGTGAGCCAGGGTTGCATTTTTTTACCCTACTTACTCAATCTGTATGTTGAGCAAATAATCTGAGACTCTGGATTATATGAAGAAGAAGGTGGCATCAGAATTGCAGAAAGGCTCACTAACAAACTATGATATGTAGATGATAACAACCTTGCTTACTGAAAGTGAAGAGGACCTGAAAAAATTACTGATGAAGATCAGAGATGACAGTCTCTGGTATGGGTTGCCCCTCAATGTAAAGAAAACAAAAATCCTTACCCACTGGACCAATAAATAGCATCAATGTAAATGGAGAAAAACCTGAAACTGTCAAAGATTTCATTTTGCTTGGCTCCACCATCAACACTAAAGGAAACAGCAGTCAAGAAATAAAATGACATATTGCATTAGGCTAAGCTGCTTCACAAGACCTCTTTAAAATGTTCAAGAGCAAAGATGTCCATCAGTTTGAGGACTAAAGTGCCCCTGTCCCAAGCTATGATATTTTTAAAAGCCCATAAGCATGTGAAAGTTGGACAATGAATAAGGAACACCATAGAAGAATTGATGCTTTTGAGTTACAGTGCTGGAAAAGTACCATGGACTACTAGAAGAACAAACAAATCTGTGTTGGAAGAAGTACAAGCAGTATGCTCCTTAGAAGTCAAGGTGGCTAGACTTCGTCTCTCACAACTTCAAACACTACTATCAGGAGGAACCACTCCCTAGAGATGGATATCATGCTTGGTAAAGTGGAGGGACAGAAAAAAGAGGGAAACCCCAACGAGAAGGACTGGCACAGTGGCAGCAACAATGGGCGCAAGCATTGCAACAATTGTGAGGATGGCACAGTACTGAGTTGTTTCATTCTGTTGAACAAGGTGTCTATAAGTCAAAACTGACTTGACAGTACTTACCACCACAAACAACAACAATTCATTGATACTGTGTCTTTAACAATTCTGTGTTCTTATTAGGTTGTGTCAAGTTGTGCTGTCAAGTGATCCCATGTGACAGAATTGCCCCTTAGGATTTCCTGGTTGTCATCTTTACAGAAGTCAACATCCCATGTCTTCTTCTTGCAGTGCAATTAAGAAGGTTTCGACCATAAACCTTTTGGTTAGTAACTGAGTTCAGACCTACTGTGTGTGCCACTAGGACTCCTAACAATTACTTGAACACTGCTGATTTTCTAGAACACAGAATCAGAACTTTGTGACAGTAGCAATATTAAGCATAATTTAAGTTACTTCTGTTTACAATGTATTTACTTTCTGACTTTCCTTCTATTTATGGCAAGTGATAGTAATTTTCTACTAGAAAGAGTAATTTTTAACATATTTATGTTAAACAATAACAACAAAAAGAGCCATATTTACAACACACAAATCTTAAGATATTACCTGATAGATATCAGATAAACTGCTGCTCCCAGAGTCACTGGCGATGCTACAACCAGACTGACTAGAGGATACATGAGTCACCTGTGGATGAGGGTTGTCTGTGAGGTGTATCTTGGTAAGATCAGCAGGAAGCTAAAGGAAAAAAAAAAAATATTATTCTAAATATCAAACTTTAGTTTTTCAGATGTTCTTCATATACTGTTATTTCTGCAAAAAACTTTCCTTTTATGTACATTACTGTACAACCTCACTTCTAATCTAAGTTCTCTGTTCTTACCCAAAATCTTTTGGGTTGATGTGCCCCAAATCAGTACTCTCTGAAACTATTAGAGAAACTTAAGCTGGTAAGCCCACTGAACAGTTTTCACAAAAGAATGCCATTATTGGTAGTATTTCTGAGGCTTATCACCCACCTCCCCTAAATAAAAGTACATAAAGATATTAGCTGTTACTCTGGTAGCGTAGTGGTTACAAAATGGGCTGCGAACCGTAAGGTCAGCAGTTAGAAACTACCAGCTGTTCTGAGGGAGAAAGATGAGGCTTTCTGCTTCCCTAAAGATTTACAGAGTCAGAAACCCTGTACATGGTCGCTATGAGTAGGAACCAACTCCACGGCACATAAAAACAACAGCAATTCATAACAGCAAAAAGATAGAATCAACCTAAATTCCCATCACTGGACGGATAGATAAACAACATTTGGTACATACACACAATGGAATACTAAGCTTTGCATCATGGAGAATAATGAGTTGAGCAACACCTAATTAATATAAAAGAACCTGGAGAACATTATACTGAGTGAGACTGTTGTTGTTGTCATGTGTTGTGGAGTTGGTTCCGACTCATAGCGGCCCTGTACAGGGTTTCCCAGGCTGTAAATCTTTATGGGAGTAGAAAGCCTCATCTTTCTCCCGCGGAACAGCTGGTAGTTTCAAACTGCTGAACTTGTGGTTCGCAGCTGGATTCGTAACCACTACGCTCAGAGCTCCATTGAGTGAGATTAGTCAATTACAAAAAGATAAATACTGTATGAGACCACTATTTATAAAAAGTCACGAAAATGTTTTCATACAAACGACATTCTTTGATGGTTAACAGGTGTGAGGTTAAGTATGCGCCCTTTGGACTTGGGGTATGTCCTTGGACCTGGCATGCCCACACTGGGAAGCTCCTAAATCCAGGGGGAAACTGATGCCAAGACATTTGGAGAGTGGCAAAGAATACTAAAGATACTGAAAGGGGAAAAGGGCCTTTCCCCAGAACTGATAAAGATAAAGCCTTCCCCCATAGAGCTGGCACTCTGAATTTGGACTTCTAGTATCCTATACTGTGAGAAAATAAATTTTTGCTTGTTACAGCCATCCACTTGTTGTATCTCTTTTATAGCAGCATTAAATAACTAAGACTACCAGGGGTGGCAAGCATAGATGAGTAATTCACTAGCTAGAAGGTAGACACCTTAACTTGGGTGAAGGGGAAGGCAATACACAATAAGAGGGTGATTGGTAGAAGAATGATGAAAGCAGATGAAGACACAAGGAGGAATGCAAGAGTTAAAGGCACCAGAGGTAAATTCTGTTATATACACACCCTACAATAAAAGTGATCTATGAGTGTATACATGGATAGATAGACAGGCTGAACAGGTATGGGAAGACTAGGATATACTCACAAATATATGAAGGTTTGACATGGGGGAAAAATTGTTATTAGCTGTGTGGCGCTATAAGATCAGCACTGGACTGCTAACTCTAAGGCTGGCAGTTCAAAACCACTAGCTGTTCCTCAGAAACCCTATGCAAGGTCATTGAGTCAGAATCAACTTGATGGCACTTAGCAACGGTAATACTGTACAAGGTAAAAATACTACATGCACACACACACACAAATGGCTGACTAATTCAAAACACTTGCTAATATTATAATAAAATAGCTAAGTGTCTTGAGAGTAAGACTTAAAGAAAAAATCACATTCAATATTGTTCTTGTTAGGTGCTATTGAGTTGGTTCTGATTCAGAGATACATTACAAACACAGAACCAACTTTACCCAGTTCTGTGCCATCCTCACAACTGTTGTTACAATTGAGCCCACTGCTGCTACTGTTTTGCCAATCAATCTCCTTGGGGGTTTTATAACGGTTAGGGATTTGAATCAACTTGACTAGGCCAAGATTTACAGAGGTTTAGCAGTTGGGATGTGCTTATTTCCATGGCAATGACACCTAATTCAGGCATAGTCAGTTCTATGGTAAGCAGCTACGAGCAACCAATTGAAGAGATGCTTCCTTGGGAGTGTGGCCTGCTTCCAATATAATGGACACACACATATAAAAAAGTCTTGATGTGGCGCTGTGGGTTAATGCACTGGACTACAAAGTTGTGTGAAATCGCAAAGTTGGTGGTTCAAGCTCGCCAGCCCCTCCTCGGAAACGCTATACAAGGTCGCTATGGGTCAAAACCAACTTGATGGCACTTAACAACAACAACACATATATGTGCATATGTGTATGGATGTGTGTGTATATATATATGGAGTGCTGGTGTGGTGCTGTAGGATAAGCACGGGGCCAAGGTCAACTGAATTACAAAGTCGGCAGTCCAAACTTACCAGCTGTTCCTTGGAAACACTATACAGGGTTACTGTGAGTTGGAACCGACCTAATGGCACTTAGCAACTGCATATATGTATATAGATATATATGTGTCACTGGTTTTGCTTCTCTAGAAAACCCAGCCTAAGACAAGGGTCTTCATCTTTTTCGCTGACCAAGCATGACATCATTCTCCAGGGACTGGCCCCTTCTGATACAATGTCGAAAGTACCAGAGACAAAGTCTCACCATTCTGGCTTCCAGGGAGCACTCTGAATGTACTTCTTCCAACACAATTCATTTGTTCTTCTGGTAGTTTATGGTACTTTTAGTACTCTTCTCCAACACCATAACTCAAATGCATCAATTCATCTACAGTTCTCCTTATTCACTATCCAACCACAATTAAAAATAAAAACAACAACAATGCTCAAACCAAAACAGAACCCACAAAGAAACTGCAACACTAACTCTTTTTTCTATTAAGGTTTGGGTTGGATAATTAGGAAAGAAGGGTAGAGGTTAAAAGGCAGAATGGATGGGATGGAGGAAAAGAAGGAAGGAAAAAAAGAAAGAAAAATGATATACATAAATAAATTAACTGAGCTTGAAGAAGCATCTGACAGGTTGCTTAAGAGAGACTTGTGATGTTGTTGTTGTTTAAGTGCCTTGAATCGGTTCCAACACATAGTGATACTGTATAGGGTTTTTGAGGAGTGACTGGGAGCCTGAACCACCGACTGTGCAGTTCAAACTGACCTTGCAGTCCAGAGTATTAACCCACAATGCCACACCAGGCCTCCAGACTTGTGATGGTCACTGTTTAATAGAATACTATTCTAAACCTTCAGTATGAATTACAGTTCAATGTAAAGAAAACAAAAATCCTCAAAAGTGGACCAACAGTCTATATATCATGATAAACTAAAAAAATACCGAAGTTGTCAAAGATTTCATTTTATTCAGATCAACAACCAACGCTCATGGATGTATCAGTCAAGAAATGAAAGGACATATATTATATATAAATCATTATCTCTTTAAATGATAAAAGATAAAGATGTTACTTTGAGGAGTAAGGTGAACCTGACCCAAGCTATGGTATTTTCAATCGCCACATATGCATGTGAAAGCTGAACAATGAATAAGGAAAATCAGAGAAAATTAATGCATTTGAATTATGGTATTATCCAAAAATGCTCATAGTGCCACGGACTGTCAGAAGAATAAACACAATGTCTTGAAAGAAGTAGGATCAAAATGCAACTTAGAAGTAAGGATGGCAAGATTTCATCTCACATATTTGAATATGTTTTTCAAGAGGGACCAGTCCCTGGAGAAGGACCTCATGATTGAAAAGTTGGGTCAACAACAACAAAAAAGAGGAAAACCCCAGAAACAAGATGGATTTACAGAATGGCTACAATAATAAACTCAAACATAATGACAGGGGGAATGGTGCAGGACTGGGCAGTGTTTCCTTCTGCTATACATAAGGTAGCTATGAGTTAGAGCTGACTCCAAGATGCATAATAATACCAACAATATGCTACTTCTACTCTCAACTTTTTGCTGAAGCACCATACCCACAATGGTTGTACCATTTTACAGTCTCAACAACAGTGTATGAAAACTTCAGTTTCTCCAGACCCTTGCCAGTTTTTGCTTGTTTTCTGTGTTTTTGAACTTTTAATTGGATTGTCTTTTTAAAATGTTCTCATTGACAATGAATGTGATTCCAATCCTCTTCAATTTATCATTCTTGGCATAGTAGATCATATGATTCTCCAGTTTGAAAGGGCCAAAATACCTGTTACACTAATGCCTGGGATATGAATCTTGGTGTCTTCCATTTCTTTTTTATTTATAACTTCCCATTTTCCCAGATTCATAATTTGTACAGAGTACTGGTGTGGCACTGTAGGATAAGCACTGGACTGCAAGGTCAGTTTGAACCACAAGGTTGGTGGTTCAAATTTACCAAATATTCCTTGGAAACCCTATAAAGGGTCCGCGCTAAGAGTTGGAAACTACTTGACAGCACTTTTAACAAAAACAATATTTTGTACATTCCATGTTCCAATTATTAATGATTGTTGTAGCTGTTTCTGCCTATTGTGAACCATGCAAAATTAGCAAATTATTAAGGTGCTGAAAGTTTTACTTCCCACATAATTTCTACTTTGTGGATACAACTATTTTCCCTGTTGCACTCTGAGTCTCTCCAAACTGAGGGACTCATCTTCTAGCAGTATATCAGACTATGCTCTGTTGCAATTCATATGGTTTTCATTAGCCAACATATTTAGAAGTACATTGCCAGGTCCTCCCTAGTCTGTCTTAGTCTGGAAGCTACATGGAAACATGTGCACCAAGGCTGACCCATGGAATAGCTTCCAGCATCACAATAATACACAAGCATCGATACTACGATAGCTTAACAGTAATATAAGAGTGGTTAAGGTTCTACTTCAAATTAAAAAAGAAGTCTTTTTTTTTTTTAATGTCTTATTGTGAATTATGTGATAGTTTTACA